CGGCGCCCACGGTCGCGGCGGCGGATAATTTGGCGGTAACGGCGCTTACCATGGACGTGGCCAAGCTGGTGATTCCCCCCAAGCCGCCCAAGGCGCCATCTGCTCCTCCTCCCCCCGCCCCTGCCATGTGCGGGGGATAGGCAGGCGGGGGGTCTGAACCGAAGCCTTGGATGCGTTGCGAAGGGAGAGTCGGGGGGGGAGGGATGGCGGAGGACGAGGAGGAGGACGGGCCCAAGGGCGAGGTGGAGGGCGGGGTCTCGTACAGGGCTTCCAACGCCTCCTTGGCCGCCGCGTGGACTAGACGGTAAATTTCTTCCCCACGGTACGGATCGGGAGGGCCCCGGTACTGGAGGCAGGCACGAATGGCCTCTGCTTGACGCTGCATGTCGCGGCGGAAATCCGTCCGGCCTTGTCGGCAGACGTGCTTGATGGTGCGAAGGACTTTTAGTTTGACGTTGTGCTGGTTCCGCTTCAACCGTCCCAACAGGAAATCCTCCACTTCCTTGCAGGCTTCGTACGAGATCAAGGTCATTCTGCTGATTTCTCCGTACAGATACCCGGGCGTGGGCTCGTTATCGCTGGCAGTGGCACGCGACAACATGCTCCTGTCCACTTTCAGAGCTTTCGAGGGGTAGGACATAGTGGAGGAGGAAGGGCCCGAGGAAGCCAAAGGCACGGCCATCATCGCAAACAAAAGGGGGACAATGGACGTTGAGGGCTGTGTCGAGAGCGCGTACCCGCTCTAGTAAGTGTGGAGACAGATGCCCCGCCTGGCTGCGACACGGGCGCCTGAAGTAAAGGGATAGGGCACGAATGCAAGGGCAGGAAAGAAGGACAAGTCAGCAATTTAAGCCCAGAGACCTTTCAAAAAGGATTTATATCTCTCGAAGGCACGTTTAACGCGCATGTGGAAGCACAACAAAGGAGTCATGCATGGCGTCGTGTCTCCGGGGCGGCGATGGCGCGACCTTGCAGGTGTATGAGCCCACATTGCTCGAAAGTCTGCCCTCCTGTGCTCACTGTACAATGGGCACATTTATTGAACTCGGGAAAGTCACGAGGTACCCGCCATACCGCCCCACGCATTGTACTATCCGCAATCGAAAACTGTTCGCAAAGTGGTAATTAAAAGGGATAGGCAGGGCTCAAAGGGTTGCGTGTTCTTCAGGAGCGGGAAGGGTTTCCATCGTGTCTACATGGAGACTATCCCGTCGTTAAGTAATGCCGTGGTACCCCATCTGTTATGGACTTCGAACATGGCTGGTTGTCTCAAAGGAATTGCACCGTAAGCGTAGCCTTGCGGGTGTCATGCGGCGTTTGGAATCGGAATCGAAGGTGTAGGAAGCATAACAGACACGACGACGCCGGCGGGGGAAACCCCTTTATAGCCTCTGCCCTTTAAATAAGGAAAATAACGTAGAACCAAAAAAAACTAAAACTCAATTACTCTTTACTATGATCAATTGCCCGGATGTGGCCATGCTTCAGTCAATTGGTCATTCAATTTTTGTCGGCAAGTTTTTTTCGGGGGGGCAAAGTAATTTATGCCGTTGACCTCCCTGCAGCACAACTGTGAATTAATCGACCACGCAGGCTGCCCCCACCGCCACCGTCACGTCTGGATCTATGTGTGTGTTCAAACTCTCCACGTTCAAGTGCGCTCGCAGCATTTCTCTTATTTTGGGTATTCTGGTCGTCCCCCCTACCATCACCACTTCGTCTATTTCGTCCCGTCCCATTCCATTGCTTTCCAAGCAACGGTCAACGGGAGAAAGGGCTCGGGCAAATACGTCTTTGCATGCCTTTTCAAAGCCATCTCGGCTCACGCTTACGTTTTGTACAAAGGAATCGCTCTGGGACCCGGTGCCGCCTTGCGAAAGACAGGAAAAAGAGGAGGAAGCCGCTGTTGAAATGCGTTTTTTTAAGTGCTCTGCGATGGATAGGAGGGTGTACGAGGAGCAGCTGTGGAGAGGTGAAGAACTCGAGGGTGAAGATGGCTGCTCATCCTCCTCGTCTTCGAATGCCATCACCTCCTTCGTTCCTTTTACGTTCCTGTCCTCGTTGGAGGAAGTGGTGAAGGTAGAGGCTGAGGAGGAGGAGGAGGAGGAGGAGGCGGAGAAAGTGATATCGCCATATGTTGCCAAGAGATGGTTTGCCAGGCAGTAATCAAAGTCGGCGCCTGTAGATATGCGAGGGCACATAATACTATCTCAGTCCACGGCTAGATCGATACAGTCCTGAATCACCCTATGCTCCTTTTCTCTTCACATGGAATGCAGCCAAACGATTTGAGCACGGGTATCGCAACAAAGTGCGTCCAACAATCTTTAAGTCCCTCTCGCAAGCACGTCGGAACCTCCCACCCTCCGCAGCAAGGCGCTGGAAACCTCGTACAATCAATCCCCCCGTTAAAGCCCGATATTCCCCGGTGAAGTTCCGAGAAGACCTACCGCCCAAATGGTCGTCCCCGTCCACCCCTTCCACCGTCACGAAGCCCTCGTGCACATAGAGCAAGGACACATCCAATGTGCCCCCCCCAAAGTCATAGACCAGGATGTGGTGAACGTCGGGTTTCTGGTGGAGGCCGTAGGCGATGGCCGCCGCGGTGGGTTCTTCCAGCACGCGCATCACCTGGGAGGGAGGAAGAAAGGATGGAGGGGCCGACTGTGGAAAGGGC